AAACAACTTTTGGCGGAAAAATTTGTAACCCCAGCTTCGCACAAGGTATAGTGGTATCAAATGGTCTTTGCTACCGTCTGAGAATTATTTTTGGCCCTCTTAAAATTGAAGTCAGACGTATAATTAAAGCTTCTTGTGCCACCATTACCCCACTTTCCCCTGCTGCATGTGTTAACAAAATAAACAAAACATGACAATAAAATACACACCAGAAGCCAAATAACAGCATCGCAAAACACAACAAAAACAAAGGGACACTGCTTTGAAACAAAAGCCTGTAAGGAAGAGAGCGATTGGGCCTTCGGAGTCTCTACGAAGGCCAACTTTGGGGAAAGAATAATCATCATGCCCGATACGTGTTCCTTTTGTCATTTTTAAAACGTTTGTATGAACAGTGCGGCGCTAGGCGGCACAATCCGCTCCCCTTTTCCGTTTTATTCTGAATAGGCTTCACGAACATTCCCAGGGAAGGCATTCATACATATACGCCGCAAACAGTCAGTAGAATAGCAAGTGCTTGATCACTTCCTCTGAGGCAAGGTCACCGGAGCTTATTACCTGTGGAAACTATTTTATATTAACTCCCTGGGTTGAGGCTTATTTGACAAAGAGACGGAAGCAACTGAAGGATCGTGATTGGAGTCCCAGAATAACGAGCGGGGCCAAGCGAAGTTCAATTGAAACTTAAACCGTGAGCCGACACGAACACCGCAAATGGAAACCTAAACTCAGAACCCATTGACATTCTTGAAACGTAAGCCGTTCTCATAGGAAGTCGACTCGCCCAGTTCCGACTCGGCTAAGAACGTGACAGTTCGTCCGGTATCCTGTGTAAAAATTAAGACGAATGGCTCTCCGATGGGTCCCTGCTGTAACCAAAATATTAAAATATTTTGGTTACAGCAGATTCATTTTCTCCTGTTCACCATTTTCAAAATTAACACTTTTGGTGCGCCTGCGTATCCACTCGGGGAGTTTGGTACTATATGGGCATCTCAAAATACACTTTACACACAAAATGGCCCGCAAAATTTAGATCCTTGGTGCAACAAGTAGGAATATTCCTGAAATACGTGTTTTACTGGTCACATTTATGCAACAAAATTTTAGACCCGAACTACCCCTGCAGAAAAAAAAAAAAGATTCGCTTTTTTGTACTGGTAGTTTAGTCTTGCAATATGTTTGCATAAATGTGGCCAGTAAAACACGTATTCAGAGAAATTTCTACTGGATGCGTCAAACCGCTGAAGTTTCCGGGTCATTCTTTTGCGGAGCGTCTTATTTGGGGACACCAGGTAGTTAGCTGTCACAATGTCCGTGTCCGTTTGTTTATGTCCTTGTCCCTTTTTCTCCAGTCTCGGGTTTACCAAAATGCTCGGTAAAGGCTCCGACTGCTGCAGGTGACCCTTATGGGGAGAACCCACGGAACAAATAAAACAAGGACCTTCTCCTCCTCTCCCCCCCCCCCTTTTTTTTTTTTTTTTGAGCCACATTCCGGGTCTGCCCCCCCCCCCCCCCCCCCCCCCCCGGGAAAATGGAAACTCTACGCCGCTGCGTAAGCGTATGGCCACCGATGTATCATTTTTACTCGTCTACCGGAGACAAAAAGATGCTTTGCAAGCATCTGGCCCCATCGCACACTGTTTTCTTCTGGCCACAGGAGTTCAAAAGATGATCCAAAAGTATATGGCCACTGATGCAATATTTCTGCTCAGCTACCAGAGACAAAAAGATGTCTGGCAAGCATCTGGCCACAGAGCACTTTCTTTTCTTCTGGCCACCGGTCTTCAAAAGATGATCCGGAAGTGTGTGGCCACTGATGCTTTAGTTCTGCTCGGCTACCAGAGACAAAAAAATGTCTGGCAAGCATCGGGCCACAAAGCACTCTTTTCTTCCAGCCACAGCTCTTCAAAAGATGATCCGAAAGAGTGCGACCACTGATGCATTATTTCTGCGCGGCTACCAGAGACAAAAAAAAAAAAGAAATGTCTGGCACCACAGGGCACTCTTCTTTCTTCTGGCCACAGGTGCTCAAAAGATGACCCGAACGCGTGCGGCCACTGAATTATTATTTCTGCTCGGCTACCAGAGACAAAAAGATGTCTGGCAAGCATCTTGTTTCATGCCCTCAGCGTCTAAGCTTTGAGCCGTGATTCGACTGCGTTCGAATTGGTTTTTTGTATTTATTTTGTTATCTCGCGGTCCGCACTCGAGCAGTATACGCTCCTACATGAGTGGCAAAAAAAAAAATTGGTTTGCTCTTTATGTTTATACAGCCTTGGTGGAGGGATGCGCCTCAACGGGTAATCGGTCACTTAGCTGTAGATGAGAAATTTAGCTAGTGCTGTACAACCGCTAACCTGGGATTTTTAACGTGCGTCACGCAGTAGTGATCACACGAACGCGTGCCGGTACGAAACTCATCCAGATCGAAACGGTTTGGGGCGGCGGGGATCGAACCCAGGAGGTTCCCAGCGCAAGCTTTCGCTCCACGCTCCGAGCTGAGACGGGTTAGCCCACTCGGGCTAACGCGTCTCAGCCTCCCCTTACATTAGTGGCAGTTTCGGACGCTCAAATTTATACTACGCAAAGCAAGTCCTGACAAGTCCCATTTCGCGGCCCTCCCTGGGCAGTGCAGGTGGCCATTCAAAGCAGCAGAAGTAGATTAGATGCTTTGTCCAACCCCCTCTGACCGCGTCTTCTGATAAGCCTCCCTACCTTCTTTTGTGCTTTCGTGTGACTGTGAGCGAGTGCGAAGGTCACTTCCAGCACATCAGAGGGGTGGTGCGAAACATGTGACCGCTCCCCCGCAGGACCAAAAACGCTTGGACGAAAATTTGTCACGTGACTCGCTCTGACGGGCTCACTGGGGAGTCTTTACCCTATGCCAAGTTATGGTTAGATGTAGGGGCAACGTAGGTCCGGTTTCCAAAAGCGCCCGTCTGTGTTCCACTGATTTTTATGCGTTGCAGTCGCAGCCGTGGATTTTCGTCGTGAACGGCCGAAATACATTCATGCAAACTTTCCGGGAGTGGCCGTTTATTTCTTCGGAGTTTATGGAATCATAGTGCTGTGTTTGTTTGATGCCTTTTGTCAAAGAGCTGCTCATCGGCGGCCGCGAGACATCCGTTGAGTGTGATCGACCGCTGCCGGAATCAGATTATGCATCTATCACGAAAGAGAGTTGCTCATCGGCGACCGCGAGACTTCCGTTGATTGTGGGCGACCGCCTTCATCCTCGACGTTGTGTTTGTGAATCGTTCTGTGCTGCCCGAATCGGATTATGCATCTATCACGGATTACATGAGATCGCTGTTTTATTTGTAAGTACTCTGCAAGCATGCTTCTGATAGTAGTCCTGCTTCCATCTCAGTAGACAATTTCATTGTATACAAACATAAACTGCCGATTACGTCCCAAGCAAGACATAAAAAGGAAAAATAAAGGAAAAAATGCAAGTATCAAATAATTTTTTTTAGCTTTTTTCTTGAGCTCCCTTTTGAAAGAACTGGCTCTGGCTAAAAATGCATAACTGTTCTTTAGCCAAGATGGTTGTTCAACTTTGACCATAGTCCAGGCCTTTAGATGTCTGGACTCTGGTCAAAGTTGAAGGGCCTGAGCCTGGTCTCAATTGAATAACCTATCCATGGTTTTGTTTCTGAAATCGGCCGCACCGGCAAACGTTCGACAGCCTGGTTCTGGCCGAAACGAAATGACCTTACTTTGGCTATGGTTGAACAGCCATAACCTGGTCAATGATGGACGGCCTCAATCTGACCAAAGTTGCGCGGCCTTGATTCGGCCAGAGTAGGACGGCCTTCATCTGACCAAAACCGAACGGCCTTAATTTGGTCAAAGTTGAACGGCTTTAATTCGGCCAGAGAAGGACGGCCTTTATCTGGCCTACGACCTCTTCTAGGTCGTGATCTGGCCAAAGCTGAACGGCCTTTATTTGACCAAAGCTATATGGCCACAATATGGCCAGAGTTGAACGGCTTAACTGCGGCCAAGGCTGCGTGGCCAAAGGATAGCCAATTAAAACCAGCCAATCAAAGGCCACAGGCCGGCCATCCTTTGGTCGGTCACATTTTCAGTGTCCGGCCACCTTTCGGCCTCTTTTTGGTCCAGGGACGCCGCCAGGATCTTCATAATGGGGGGGGGGGGGGGCAGTGGGGAGGCGAACTAAATTGGGGGGGGGGGGCAAGGAGGGGGAGGGGGGGAGGGAGGGGAAGGGGGAGGTTGCTCTGAGGTGCTATTGCCCACGGGCTTATCGAAGATAGCCTATGCGGTGTGCTCATTGAAAAGGGAAATGTGGAGACACGAGAAGGAAGAAGGGGGGGGGGGGGGGTATCACAGCAGGGACCTCTGCTCCCTGTGCTCATACTCCCAACCAGGTTTTACTTCCCTTTCTGAGACAGTCCGGAATTCGCCAGGCTCCCCTTCGTTCACGTCTCCGGTCTCCGCTGAAGATAAGCACCGCAGAGCGGAATACGGAGAGAAAAGCCAGCAGGCGTCACAAAGGGGAGCTACTGTTTCTAACGCGCTTGATAGCTTACTCGCCCGCAGTGCGACTTCCAGTGGCTGGAAGTTAATAGAAAAAAAAAGGCATGAACGGCTCTAAAGTCTGGACACTCGTTACACTGGGTCTTTAAGGATGCGGTCCCACGGCAGCCATCTTGAACAAGGCGTTAGTTCAACCAATAGATGGCGACACGCACCCGTGGGGTGGCCGAAACATTGGTTCACAGTGGGATGGCTCGAGCATAGAGTAATATAGTAGAACGTAAAGAGTGGCCACTCGGACCCTATCGCGGCCCAGAAAGTAGGTTTCACGGCAGCCGCCAGCTGGCGCCATAGTGCCTATTTATTTACATATTTGTTATATTTGCACCGTTCATAAATTGTTCTATCTTAATTTAGAAGCTTTTAAAATTGTTAGTAGCTTCGAAGGTCAGAGAAAAATATTCCAATGATTGCGACTTCCGCTTGGGCAAAACGCCGCCATAACAGCAGCCTGCCCAGGCTCCCTGGGTGTTGGGCTCGGCGGCTCGGGCGGTCTGTCTGCTGTTCCTGTCGTCAACGATTTCTCGGTGTTCACTTCGTGGAAAAGGTGAGCCATTTCAAAACACTATTACGCAACCACATGACGAGTGTTTCACGTGTCTGTTGGGCGTCAGCGTCTTTCGGGCTCACCGCTTTTCTCTGTTCCATCAGATTTCATAGCGTGAAATGCGGCAGGGCAGAAGCGTCTGACGCTGCAAACACGTGCGCGTTGTCTTCAGCGGCGCTGATTCCTTCCAGCTTTCACTTCTCAAACGCGCGTGCATTACATGCTCATTTAAAGCGTCGAGCTGTCTCTCGTAGTTGTTTCTTTTTTGGCACTTACGGTGAAATGGAGCTGTGCACACAGTTTCTGCGGGGGCCGAGAGTCGGTGACGCCAAAGAGAGGTCCTTAGACGCTTCGCTCAATGTGGTGTGGTTTCTTCATCCTACTCGCACGAGTTTTTCCTTCTTTGCGTGAGGTTTTGTCCTTATTAATGTTGAAAGTACATACCGCAGCACCGTGCTTTTAATTTGATCTGGTCGAGAACAGCCAGCTCGGGGAAATGAAATCACAGGTGAGCAAGGCATCCGATTATCAGCGTAATTCGGTGCACCCTGCGCGCTGGAGTATGCTGGAGCACCATAGTGAACCATAGTATCATGAGGCGCCGAAGCATTGGTTTCACATCGTCCGAGTTGGTGTATACTAACATGTAATTCATCTTTTTATTTAAGGGCGCTGTTCGTGCACCGTGGTTACCTCGTGATTTATACAGTACGAACTTGACCTTGTGTTTTGTATATTAGTACAGTTTATTGCGTCATGACCAGCTCCCTTTTCGCAGGCATATCAGAATCTCACGGCGCCAATTCTGTAAATTGTTTTCTGCAGCGCACGCCGTCGAAATGCCCAGCTACGGTAGCTACTGCTGCGTAGCGTGGTGCTCTAACAACGGAAGAACGTGCAAGAAACCGGGAACAAAGTTTTTCCGGGTTCCACGGGACAGCAGGTAGCCATGGTTTTCACCTGTCTTTGTTCTAAAAACTTACTGGATGACTGTTCAGCTGTCAAAGCGAAAAACGGAACGTTTGTTTCTTCAAAACTAGTTTCAAAACTGTAGTAAGGGAAAAACTTGGGCGAGTTCTTTTGCATAGGGATGAATAAAAACAGTACAGGCGAGACGAAGGAACAGAGCTCTGGAGTACTCACAGTACCAAGTTTTGCTCAAACTACACTAAGGTGGTTAAGTAACACAGTCACTTACCAGCCGTGGAATTGTTATGTATTTCATTTTTCTTAAAACTGTACTTCGTAATCTCGCACATAGCCTGTACTTATGAGAAAATAATGTATAGGACACTACTGTGTGTTTGCCTTCACATCAGCACAGACGTAACACTTCACTGAATATATCATGAACAAAAATAGTTGTCATTGAAAATTTCTGCTGTTCTTTTTGTGACATCCTATAACTTCGAAGGAACAAATAAAATTATATATCTGTGATGAAGGGACAGAGGCATTCCAGTTAAACAGAGATGGCCTATGTATTAACCGCCTCTGGCACTTTAATGTCCAAGTCATCTTCAGGCATTTATATACCTGTACCACATGTCACAGGTCTAAGGCGTGGGTCGAGTACGCCAAGAGACATGACCTCATGGACAAACCGGCGGCGCGCCTATATGCGAGCTACTACGTGTGCAGCGACCACTTCACTGTACACGACTTCATGGACCCTGGACGAACGAGGCTCACAAAAACAGCAGTGCCCAGTGTTCGTCCCCAGGAACACTGGCAGTCTGTGATATGTCGTGGTAATGCTTTATTCACTTCCCGATGTATGCAAAATATATAAGTAGAAAAACTTGGCTTACATGTAACTCTACTTTCACTGCTTCGTAAGCTCTGACGTTACTCTTACTTCTATCTAGCATCAGTGGTATGGTCACGTTTAGGCGATCGTGTCATGTTTGCGCATCTCCATCACAATATCGTGTGTTCACTTAGTCTCAGTATCATTGGTTTTGGAGCTTCCCTAGCTCCAAACCTTCCCATCATCTAGGAATGTTTTGTTTTTGTTTCAATGTCCAGAACGTGTTGACTGCTGTGTTACACCCCCAACACTGCTGCTTTCGTATCCAACATTTTGTTAATTGCAGGTGACTTCATCTTGTTTTTTGCAGACCTCCTGGAGGCCAGCACCTCGCACGGCACGCCTTCGGACAGCCAGCCGGTTACCCTGTCCAGGGCAGCTCACGGTGAGGAATCGACTCTGTTTGAAGCAACAACTTGTTTCTAATAACCAACTTCTTGCAGATCTCGCGGAGGCCAGCACCTCGCACGGCACGCCTTCGGACAGCCAGCCGGTCACCCTGTCCAGGGCAGCTCACGGTGAGGAAGCGACTCTGTTTGAAGCAACAACTTGTTTGTGATAACCAACTTCTTGCAGATCTTGCGGAGGCCAGCACCTCGCACGGCACGCCTTCGGACAGCCAGCCGGTCACCCTGTCCAGGGCAGCTCACGGTGAGGAATCGACTCTGTTTGAAGCAACAACTTGTTTCTAATAACCAACTTCTTGCAGATCTCGCGGAGGCCAGCACCTCGCACGGCACGCCTTCGAACAGCCAGCCGGTCACCCTGTCCAGGGCAGCTCACGGTGAGGAAGCGACTCTGTTTGAAGCAACAACTTGTTTGTGATAACCAACTTCTTGCAGATCTTGCGGAGGCCAGCACCTCGCACGGCACGCCTTCGGACAGCCAGCCGGTCACCCTGTCCAGGGCAGCTCACGGTGAGGAATCGACTCTGTTTGAAGCAACAACTTGTTTCTAATAACCAACTTCTTGCAGATCTCGCGGAGGCCAGCACCTCGCACGGCACGCCTTCGGACAGCCAGCCGGTCACCCTGTCCAGGGCAGCTCACGGTGAGGAAGCGACTCTGTTTGAAGCAACAACTTGTTTGTGATAACCAACTTCTTGCAGATCTTGCGGAGGCCAGCACCTCGCACGGCACGCCTTCGGACAGCCAGCCGGTCACCCTGTCCAGGGCAGCTCACGGTGAGGAATCGACTCTGTTTGAAGCAACAACTTGTTTCTAATAACCAACTTCTTGCAGATCTCGCGGAGGCCAGCACCTCGCACGGCACGCCTTCGGACAGCCAGCCGGTCACCCTGTCCAGGGCAGCTCACGGTGAGGAAGCGACTCTGTTTGAAGCAACAACTTGTTTGTGATAACCAACTTCTTGCAGATCTTGCGGAGGCCAGCACCTCGCACGGCACGCCTTCGGACAGCCAGCCGGTCACCCTGTCCAGGGCAGCTCACGGTGAGGAATCGACTCTGTTTGAAGCAACAACTTGTTTCTAATAACCAACTTGCAGATCTCGCGGAGGCCAGCACCTCGCACGGCACGCCTTCGGACAGCCAGCCGGTCACCCTGTCCAGGGCAGCTCACGGTGAGGAAGCGACTCTGTTTGAAGCAACAACTTGTTTGTGATAACCAACTTCTTGCAGATCTTGCGGAGGCCAGCACCTCGCACGGCACGCCTTCGGACAGCCAGCCGGTCACCCTGTCCAGGGCAGCTCACGGTGAGGAAGCGACTCTGTTTGAAGCAACAACTTGTTTGTGATCACCAACTTCTTGCAGATCTTGCGGAGGCCAGCACCTCGCACGGCACGCCTTCGGACAGCCAGCCGGTCACCCTGTCCAGGGCAGCTCACGGTGAGGAAGCGACTCTGTTTGAAGCAACAACTTGTTTGTGATCACCAACTTCTTGCAGATCTTGCGGAGGCCAGCACCTCGCACGGCACGCCTTCGGACAGCCAGCCGGTCACCCTGTCCAGGGCAGCTCACGGTGAGGAACTAACTCTGTTTGAAGCAACAACTTGTTTCTGATAAACAACTTCTTGCAGATCTCGCGGAGGCGAGCACCTCGCATGGCACGCCTTCGGACAGCCAGTCGGTCACCCTGTCCAGGGCAGTTCACGGTGAGGAAGCGACTCTGTTTGAAGCAACAACTTGTTTCTGATAACCAACTTCTTGCAGATCTCGCGGAGGCCAGCACCTCGCATGGCATGCCTTCGGACAGCCAGCCGGTCACCCTGTCCAGGGCAGCTCATGGTGAGGAAGCGACTCTGTTTGAAGCAACAACTTGTTTGTGATAACCAACTTCTTGCAGATCTTGCGGAGGCCAGCACCTCGCACGGCACACCTTCGGACAGCCAGCCGGTCACCCTGTCCAGGGCAGCTCACGGTGAGGAAGCGACTCTGTTTGAAGCAACAACTTGTTTGTGATAACCAACTTCTTGCAGATCTTGCGGAGGCCAGCACCTCGCACGGCACGCCTTCGGACAGCCAGCCGGTCACCCTGTCCAGGGCAGCTCACGGTGAGGAAGCGACTCTGTTTGAAGCAACAACTTGTTTGTGATAACCAACTTCTTGCAGATCTCGCGGAGGCCAGCACCTCGCATGGCACGCCTTCGGACAGCCAGCCGGTCACCCTGTCCAGGGCAGTTCACGGTGAGGAAGCGACTCTGTTTGAAGCAACAACTTGTTTGTGATAACCAACTTCTTGCAGATCTTGCGGAGGCCAGCACCTCGCACGGCACGCCTTCGGACAGCCAGCCGGTCACCCTGTCCAGGGCAGCTCATGGTGAGGAATCGACTCTGTTTGAAGCAACAACTTGTTTCTAATAACCAACTTCTTGCAGATCTCGCGGAGGCCAGCACCTCGCACGGCACGCCTTCGGACAGCCAGCCGGTCACCCTGTCCAGGGCAGCTCACGGTGAGGAAGCGACTCTGTTTGAAGCAACAACTTGTTTGTGATAACCAACTTCTTGCAGATCTCGCGGAGGCCAGCACCTCGCACGGCACGCCTTCGGACAGCCAGCCGGTCACCCTGTCCAGGGCAGTTCACAGTGAGGAATCGACTCTGTTTGAAGCAACAACTTGTTTGTGATAACCAATTCTTGCAGATCTTGCGGAGGCCAGCACCTCGCACGGCACGCCTTCGGACAGCCAGCCGGTCACCCTGTCCAGGGCAGCTCATGGTGAGGAAGCGACTCTGTTTGAAGCAACAACTTGTTTGTGATAACCAACTTCTTGCAGATCTTGCGGAGGCCAGCACCTCGCACGGCACGCCTTCGGACAGCCAGCCGGTCACCCTGTCCAGGGCAGCTCATGGTGAGGAATCGACTCTGTTTGAAGCAACAACTTGTTTGTGATAACCAACTTCTTGCAGATCTTGCGGAGGCCAGCACCTCGCACGGCACGCCTTCGGACAGCCAGCCGGTCACCCTGTCCAGGGCAGCTCATGGTGAGGAATCGACTCTGTTTGAAGCAACAACTTGTTTGTGATAACCAACTTCTTGCAGATCTTGCGGAGGCCAGCACCTCGCACGGCACGCCTTCGGACAGCCAGCCGGTCACCCTGTCCAGGGCAGCTCACGGTGAGGAAGCGACTCTGTTTGAAGCTACAACTTGTTTGTGATAACCAACTTCTTGCAGATCTCGCGGAGGCCAGCACCTCGCACGGCACGCCTTCGGACAGCCAGCCGGTCACCCTGTCCAGGGCAGTTCACGGTGAGGAAGCGACTCTGTTTGAAGCAACAACTTGTTTGTTATAACCAACTTCTTGCAGATCTTGCGGAGGCCAGCACCTCGCACCGCACGCCTTCGGACAGCCAGCCGGTCACCCTGTCCAGGGCAGCTCATGGTGAGGAAGCGACTCTGTTTGAAGCAACAACTTGTTTGTGATAACCAACTTCTTGCAGATCTCGCGGAGGCCAGCACCTCGCACGGCACGCCTTCGGACAGCCAGCCGGTCACCCTGTCCAGGGCAATTCACGGTGAGGAAGCGACTCTGTTTGAAGCAACAACTTGTTTGTGATAACCAACTTCTTGCAGATCTTGCGGAGGCCAGCACCTCGCACGGCACGCCTTCGGACAGCCAGCCGGTCACCCTGTCCAGGGCAGCTCACGGTGAGGAAGCGACTCTGTTTGAAGCAACAACTTGTTTGTGATAACCAACTTCTTGCAGATCTCGCGGAGGCCAGCACCTCGCATGGCAGGCCTTCGGACAGCCAGCCGGTCACCCTGTCCAGGGCAGCTCACGGTGAGGAAGCGACTCTGTTTGAAGCAACAACTTGTTTGTGATAACCAACTTCTTGCAGATCTTGCGGAGGCCAGCACCTCGCACGGCACGCCTTCGGACAGCCAGCCGGTCACCCTGTCCAGGGCAGTTCACGGTGAGGAAGCGACTCTGTTTGAAGCAACAACTTGTTTGTGATAACCAACTTCTTGCAGATCTTGCGGAGGCCAGCACCTCGCACGGCACGCCTTCGGACAGCCAGCCGGTCACCCTGTCCAGGGCAGCTCACGGTGAGGAATCGACTCTGTTTGAAGCAACAACTTGTTTCTAATAACCAACTTCTTGCAGATCTTGCGGAGGCGAGCACCTCGCACGGCACGCCTTCGGACAGCCAGCCGGTCACCCTGTCCAGGGCAGCTCACGGTGAGGAAGCGACTCTGTTTGAAGCAACAACTTGTTTGTGATAACCAACTTCTTGCAGATCTCGCGGAGGCCAGCACCTCGCACGGCACGCCTTCGGACAGCCAGCCGGTCACCCTGTCCAGGGCAGCTCACGGTGAGGAAGCGACTCTGTTTGAAGCAACAACTTGTTTCTGATAACCAACTTCTTGCAGATCTCGCGGAGGCCAGCACCTCGCATGGCACGCCTTCGGACAGCCAGCCGGTCACCCTGTCCAGGGCAGTTCACGGTGAGGAA